GCTGTTGGCCCCCAGACTACCACAACCATGGCGTTCGCCTGATACTTCTTTGCAATTTCATTCAACATCGGGCGCGCTCGAAACTTCCTCACAATTCCCCAAACAGTGCTTGCACTTAGGCGTTTTTATTTATGGAATTGGGAACTGGGCGTGAGGATCGGTCTGGCAGATATGTAGTCGCCGTCGCCGCCCCGTCGCCGCCTCGTCGCCACCCGTCGTCTGGGCCTGGGGGTCGGCCTGGCGGCAATGCCGTCGCCGTCGCCACCCCGTCGCCGCCTCGTCGCCGCCCGTCGTCCGAGCCTGCATTGCTTTGCATTGCTTGGAACTGCTCTCGTCGCCGCCCGTCGTCTGGGTCTGGGGGTCGGTCTTCGCGGCTATGGCGTCGCGGTCGCCGCCTCGTCGTCGCCTCGTCGCCGCCCGTCGTCTGGAACTGCATTGCTGTGCGTTGCTGTACACTGCTCTGCGTTGCTTTGCATGACTTTGCATTGCTTTGCGTTGCTTTGAATTGCTTGGCGCTACTTCAACTCGCATTCAGTTGTTTTGTATTGCTTTCTTTGCTCCACATAACTTGCTCCACACATGTTGCGCCACAAACATTGCACACCACGCATATTTATATACATATGCACACGCATGTCTTGCGCACCAGCGACTGCACTACATGCGCTGCACAACTTGTATGGCGCACAACGTCGCTGACAGAACACACGTCCATGTGTATATGTCCATAAACTACACAAGGTACATTGCATCACATATATGTTGACCAGCATGTTGCCACACAAACGCATGTTTATATATATGGCACCACGTATACGGCGCAACACATGATGCACACCACAGGTCTAGCGCAACATGGGCTGCACTTTTTATTCACATGAGTTGCACCACATAGGTTGCTCTCCACAGATACATGTAAACACACACGCTTGCACATACATATGTACACGTACGTATGCATGTATGTATGTATGTATGTATGTATGTATGTATGCATGCATGCATGCATGCATGCATATGTGTGTATGTCTTTCTACATCTATTGCACAACAGCTAATACAGAACAGCGATTTCCACCAAATCTATTGTACAACAGGTATGGCATACACGAAGTATATGTACGTATGTGTATATATATACATGTATATATGTATATATATACATAGGAACAGCCAGGTTGGGGATCCGCGCTGGCTAGCATCCTTGTAGTTACTACGGCGCTGCGCTCTCCACGTCCATGAAATCGCGCTCTCGCACGACAGCATCCTCGCAATTTACCCAAGCCCCTCTGCCTCGCCTGACGCTCCTTCGCTATTTGCGAAACTCGCTTCAACGCCTCGCCCGCCCGACCTGCTCGTCGGGGTCCGCCCGTTCGCCTGCGTGAAGCCCGCCTGCCCGCGTCAATGTCCCGCCCGGCCCACTCCCGTTAGGGTCCGCCCGCCCGACTTGCCTGTCACGGTCTGACCTATCGCATGCTTGGACGCCCGCCCGCCCGCTGTGATACTCCACCCGCCCGACACGCCCTTTGGGGCTCGCCCGCCCGACCCGCCCGTTCGGGCCGGCCCGCCGGTCAGGATCCGTTTGCCACAATTATTGCTCCTCCTCCCCACCCCTTCTTGTAAAATCTTCTTGGGCCCCAATCCTCCTCCCTCCCTCTTGCGCCCCTCTCTTCTCGTTCTCTCCTCCTCTCCTCGCTCTCTTCCTGTTCCTTTTCCCTCTTCCTCCTCCTCCACCTCCTCCTCCGATTTTAGGGGCCGCGCCACCCACACCTGGCCACCTGGCAGGCAAGAATCGGAGGCGATGGGGTGAGATCGCAACGAAACGGAGAGGCCCACGCCGGGAAGCCGGTTTCCGTTCCGTGTTCGTGTCGTGCGCTCGCCATCGCTCGGACGTCCATTCCCTGTGTTTTTTTCGGTTTCGTGCGTGGTTTTTTCGGCAGATGATCAAGGATGCTCCTCGATGGTCCTCGCCGAGGAAAAAACGCGCACGTCCGAGCGATGCCAGGGTGCGTGCGAGGCGAAGCCGCGTGGGCGGGCGAGAGAATGAAACCTCCTCTGGCCAGGGCGCCGCTGGGCCGAAAGGCCGTCCCTCCCCCCTGGCTGGCCGGCGGTGGCCGGGGGTGTGCCGCCCTGGTGTTCCTTCCAGTGGTGTCCCGTGGGGTCTCGCGGTGTGGTGTCCCGCGGTGGCCCGTGGTGTTCCGTGGCGCGGTGTCCTGGGTGTGTCGATCGTGAGCTCGATGGTGAGATTGATATATAGAGATCGACGGTGAGATCGATCGTGAGATCAAGAAGGACATCGGCTGTAAGATCGATTGTGAGATGTATTGTCAGCGTGCCAGTGGGATCGACAGTGAGATCGATAGTGAGATCGATGGTGAAATCGATAGTGGGATCGATAGTGAGATCGATAGTGATATCGATTGTGTGACCGTTTGTGAGATCGATAGTGAAATCGATAGTGGGATCGATAATTAAATCGATATTGTCATCGATAGTGATATCGATCGTGAGATCAATCATGAGATCGATTGTGAGATGAATAGTGAGATCGATCGTTAGATCGACATTGAGATCAATGGTGAGATCGATAGTGGGATCGATCGTGAGATCGATAGCGAGATCAACAGTGCGATCCGTTGTGATATCGATCGAGAGATCGCTTGTGAGATCGATTGCGAGACCGATAATGGCATCGATAATGAAATCGATCGTGAGACCGATAGTGTGATCGATAGTGATATCTAAAGTGAGATCGCTAGTACGGTCGGTAGTGAGATCGATAGTGAGATCGATCGTGATATCGAAAGTGATAACGATTGTGAGAAAGATGGTGAGAGGGTTCTTGAGATCGAGTGTCATATCGGTATTGGGATCGGTCGTGAGATCAATCGAATGATATCGAATATGACATCGATGAAGAAATCGACAGTGAGGTCGATTCAATGAGACGTTGGCTCCTGCCCCCCCGAATCTCCTTGTCATCCGAACGGTGGTCCTGTAGGTATATATATCCCGAAGGTGGGACGATCGAAAGCGAAGAGGGCGGGTATCGAGGGTTTGGGATATACATTTTGAGCGACACGCTAGCAGCGAAGAGCGATCAATCCTGATTTGTTTGCTGTTGAACCCTCCTTTCTGAAACACAATTCTTGTTGACCCTCTCAGGTGCCCATCGTGTTCTTTAACTGAAATGCCCCCCCGGAGCTCGCACCCGGCTTTCTATCAGGGAAGGTCTTGAGCCTCAAACTTTGTTGTTGGCCCCTGGTTTGCAACAACAGCGGCTCCCGCCTGATACTTCCTCGCAACTTGTTCAAAAGTCGCGCTCTCGTGCGAGACTGCCTAACAGTTTGCTCAGGAATCGCGTTGTCGCCAATGACTTTTCCTTACATCTTGTTCAAGCGCCGCGCCGTCGACGCCCAAGAAACGCGCTCGCGCACGAGACTGCCCCGCACCCAGAACTCGTGCTTTCGCCTGACGCCTCTTCGCAGTCTGCAGAATCGTTTCCATGCCCCGCCCGCCCGACCTGCCCGCTGGGGTCCGCCCGCCCGACCCGCCGTTCAGGGGGGTCCGCCCGCGCGACCCGCCCGCTGGGGTCCGCCCGCTCGCCTGCGTGCAGCCCGCCCGCCCGCGTCGATGTCCCGCCCGGCCCGCCCGTTAGGGTCCGCCCGCCCGACTTGCCTGCCACGGTCTGACCTTTCGCATGCGTGGACGCCCGCGCGCCCGCTGTGATACCCCACCCGCCCGACGCGCCTGTTAGGGTCCGCCCGTTCGCCTGCTTGAAGCCCGCCCGCCCGCTTCAATGTCCCGCTCGACTTGCTCGCTGGGGTCCGCCCGCCCGCCCGACCCGCCCGTGAGGGTGCGCCCGCCCAGCCCGCCCGTTGGGGTCCGCCCAAAAACCCGCCACTCAAGGCTGGCCCAGCCGACTCGCCCGTCAGGGCCCGCAGACGCCGATCATTGCTCCTCTCTCTCCTCCCCTCTCCTTGCTTGCTAGATCTGTTTCGGCCTCTTCCCTCTTGCCGCCTCTTTTCCCGTTTCCTCCTCTCTCCTCGTCTCCGTTTTCCTTTTCCCTCCTCCTCTTCCTCCTCCTCCGCATTCCTTAAGAGCCGCGCGACCTACACGTGGTAGGCGCTCCCTATATATATATATATATATAGATATATATGTATATATGTGTGTATATGTGTGTGTGTATGTGTGTGTATTTTGTACATATATATACATATATATATAGATATACGAAATTGTGCGTACATGTATTTTTTTGTATATTTGTAAATGTCTATATGTGTAGGTATATGTATATGTGATTATATATATGTAGAAATGTATATATATATATATGCACATATCTATGCATATGTATGTATATGTATATGTTCATGTATATGTATACGTATATGTATATGTATATGTATAGGTATATGTGTATATATATAATATCATATGATAATTAAAATTATTATTATTATAATATATATGTATATATATATGTTTGCCCCCGGTGAGCAGACATG